ACCACCAATTGATGTGTCTCTCTCACATTGCGATGTTTCTCTCTGTGTGTCTCTCCCTCTCCCTTTCACTCTCTCTAAAAATCAGTTTCTCTCTGGAAAATATCCCTGGGTGGGTATTAGCAGCAACAACAAAATATATATAATTGATTTTTAGAAAGAGAGGAAGGGAGAGGGAGAGAAACATTGGCATGAGATTGGCTGCCTCCTTGCACGCCTCCTAAAGGGGTTTGAGCCCAAAACACTGGTATGTGCCCTGATGGGGAATTGAACCAGCAACCTTTTTTGTCCCCAGAATGACGCCTAACCAACTGAGGACAGTTTTCTTTAGATAAATACCCAGAAGTTGAATTATGGGATCATATGGCAGCTCTATTTTTAGTTTTTTTCTTTTTTTTAGGAGCCTCCATACTGTTTTACATAGTGGCTGCAATTCCACCAGCAGTATATGATTCCCTTTTCTCCACATCCTTGTCAGCCCTTGTTATTTGTTGATTAATTGGCAATAGCCATTCGGACAGGTGTGAGGTGACATCTCACTGTGGTCTTGATTTGCATTTCTCTGATGATTAGTGATGTTGAGCATCTTTTCATGTGTCTGTTGGCTCTCTGTATGTCCTCTTTCCAGAAATGTCTGTTCAGGTCTGCTGCCCATTTATTTATGTATTTATTATTTATTCCCTCATCACCATTTAGCCCCTCTATGCCCTCTTCCAGCTCCCTGTCCTCCTTACCCCCTCTCAACGCCACACTGTTGTCCCAGTCCATGAGTTCTCTCTTTTTTTCCTTTTTTGCTCAATTCCTCCCTCTGCCTTTTTCACGTTTGATAGTGGGTATTTTGGTGTGAAGCTGCATGAGGTCCTTATATATTTTAAATATTACCCTCTGATCTGATGTGTCATTTGGGAACATCTGAACAGCAGGTTTTCCTTTTGGTGATGGTTTTTATTATGCAATTTAAGTCATTGTCTTCTACGTGAGTTTCTAGAGATAAGGTCATCTACCTCTCCCAGTACAGCAAGGGAAATACCCTGACAAATGGAGATTTCCCTTACAAAGGCAAAAGTT